ACACGAACGGTGTGTATGGCACGACAACCGCGCGACGAACGCCGCGCTTCGACAACATTCGCGAAATGCCTCGGCCCTTTGTGGTCCGCCGTATCAAGCTGGACGCGACACAGCACTTTATGACGGTCTTATGCGGAAAATACGGAGTTTAGCGGCCGGCGCATAGCTGCCGGCGGTATTTTGCAACATAGTTGCGCGGTCGAAATTTTATAAAAGTCCCACGTAGGACGTTGCACCGTGTCCCGCGCCGATATCCAAGGATCACCGCGCGGAACAGGAAGGAACGGGTGAGGAAAGAATAATAATCATTGATCCTCGGTCGTCGCATCGCGCCGTATTGACGTGTGTCCCTAGTGCAATACGAGCGAACGACCGGACGAAATTTATGCCAGCCGGATTTCCATGGCCGTGATTTACCGGCTTGCCAACGAAGGACCTTAAATCTAGTTGCTCGGCGCACCACCGGCGTTTCCTCGGTAACAAGGTAGGCGGAAAAAAGACTAGCCTTGATTAACGACAGTGCAGTTTTGTATCGCCGCTTTATTAGAACAATTTGTAACTCGAGACTTTTCGCGAGGAGCGCGCCGTGGCAAGAGGGCTCCGGCGCTTTACAGCCACTTCGGAAAAAAACGACCCGCTTCGAGTGCCCCGTTAAGTCTGTCACGGCTGTCTGTTTCTGCCTCTCCGTCTCTCCATCTCTCTTCACCATGACCCAAAGCATAATTAATGGCGCTTCTGCTGCAGAATTAATGTTGAGGTAACCGATTTACTTATGCCAAGACTCTCGTTCGATCAAGGGCAAAAGCCGACGATTCGCGGCGCGAGGACAAAAACCTCTTTCACGATAATCTACCGAGGGCAATAGTCGATCGCTCTTTTTATCCTCCAAGATTAATCGCGGGAATACGAATAGAATGTTATCCCGGTTAACGCTTAGCGCACATTTAAGAAAAAAAATAAAGCGCTGATTGAAATAATTTTATTAATGTAATCAAATAAGTAGAATAGAATTACGATTAAAATCGAAGAGTTCTCCGGAGAAAATATTTCACAAAAAGTAATGTAAGCAGACAGTGTTTAAAGGTCGCGTGAAGCGAAATGCCGCTGGAGTCTTTTCGAGCGAACGAACTCATTATTTATCCGTGCCAATCTACGGAATGTCGCCGGTATGATTTTATTTACGTCGCTCGCGTCACGGGTGCACGGCCCGATGATCAATTCTGAACGCAAGTAATTCAATTTACTGTGTCGTCAGTCTAGAATCCCGAGATCGCCACCAATTTCCATGTCAAAGCAAACGAGGAGCGTAGCCCTCTCGCCACGCATATATGTGCGTATATGCGACGTCGTACATAAGTGCTCTATATGCCCTATAAATTCCTCAATATTTTCTGGATTATTTTAAGGCATTTTAAAGGAATTTTTGAGGATGGAGAATGCCTGGATGCGCGTATTTTTATTAATAAATAAATAAACAACATCAAACGGCAATAAAGTTAGCGATTAACGTATCTTAAATAACCCTTTGTCTAAAATGTAACACTTGTCAAACGCATATTTCTTTATACTTTTTAATTTTATAGTTGTAATCACTGGCGGATCCTGGGTTAACCCCCCCCCCTTTCCAAGTTAAAAAAAATCAATTTTGCTGGATCCGTTTCAAAAATCTTGGTAAAAAATGCATTAAAGCAGGTCAAAACCCCTCCTATATTGACATCAGGATCCGCTAATGGTTGTAGTATATATCGGCATGTAGATATATATTGATTCAAAGAGTGCTTGATTGGCGACTATTAAGACATTTGCGACGCCCACTCTTCGTAGGAAAATATCTGTTATAATATCTTTGTCATTAGTCACTGGCTCGAGTAGCCTCGGCAAAAGTAGCGCAATTTTCGCTAAGAAAATCGTCGAGTGGATATTTTTTCGAGCACACAGGTACGTCTATAGACCTGCCTGTAAATCGCCTTCTCGGTAAAGAGCCAAGAGAGCGAAAATTAAACGCCGTTCTCACAGAAATGAAATTGTGCTACTCGAGAAATCTTCCAGCTAGCGCGAGTCTCTCATTCGGAAGAAACGAACGACTCTTACTGAAGAATTAACCCGCCCTCCGTCCTTTACCCACCGGCTTCATCGATAACGACTTATTATCGGAGCACCGCCTCCTTCGGCCGTGCAGTCATATTCCTACTTTTCGTCTCATAAATAATCAACGAGCGCTAGCAGCTAGTAGACTATAGCAGAATCGATAGCGTGAAATTCGTTCTTCGAACGTAAACGAAACCGGCGCGTTGTCATTCCCGCCTGCTGTAAATGCTCACAGATGTAACGAGCGTTACGTATGCATACCTAATGCTGCGTAACAAGTCGTCGCGATGAACCGCTTGGCGGGACGATCGACTTTTCAATGAGAAACACGAAGACGCTTGGTACGTGTTAATATCGTCACATGACTCGAGTGAGATTCGTCAGACGGGGCGTTCAGCGCCAATAATTTGACAGCTCCGCTGGCGTTTCTTTTTTTAGACTTCCGCATACTGAAGAACGTATCGCGCTTCAGCGATTTTACTTCTATAAAATTATTATCTGATCGCAATATTATTTGATACGAAAAAAAAAAACAAAGCAATACGGCACTTTTTTTAGTATATTTAAATAATCAATTTTTTTATTGTATTGTGCGAAAGATGGCGTTCACATAGCTGAAAGGATATTATATTATATTATATATATATATATCGCTAGATGTTCGGTAAAAAATTTACATAACAGTTGCAAAGCTGCCTCTTCCGTTAAAAACGAACAAGCGGAGATGTCTGGTGCGCTTCAGGGTCGAACGCGTCGACGCCTGCGGAGCACAAGCGCGGCGGCCTTCGCAAAATCGATCCTCTATCAGAGAAGGAAGTCGTTGCCTCGTGCACGCCGCCAACGATAAGAGGCCAAGACGGTCGCTTTGATCGCGGATTAATCGAACGGACGTGATAGCGGAAATTCTCTCTCTCTCTCTTCTTCTCTCTCGACATCGGCGACGCTCGCTTGCCGTGAGATTGTGAAGAAATCCCGACGAATCGAATAGCACATTCCCAGTAAACTGTCGAATAAAACGCCGTCAGCGGGAGAAACGAAACGTGCGTCGTAAAAATACGCGCCTTTAACGTTCCCATTTACGATTCTCGGTCTAAGAATCGCGCGCCTCGCTATCCATGATTATGTAAATTCGCTGTACAGCGCGTGGCCGCGTAATGCACGCGGTTGTTTCTACCGTTCAAACTGCAGACTGTCACGAGAAATGACGCCGTTGGTCGCGTGCGAGAGTCGTGCCGCCGAGAAAACAGCGTCGCGAATTTTTAACGGAGACAAAACAAACGCGTGCGACCGGCGAATACGTAAATCTCTGGCGTAAGTGATACAATGCAGGGCAAGTCCGGCGACAAGGGCGGAGAAGCGTCCTCTGCACGGTTGGCGCACGTATTTGTTTTCCGTGACATAGGTTGATGCAAATTAAAATTGCAAATATTTATACTCGTAATATACATTCGTGGTGAGGGAATAAACTAGCGCGATTTTAAAAATAGCTATTTCTAAATCCAAAATATTTTATTTCAATTATAATGAAAAGTCTATGGGCGCTTGGCCGCACTCTTTCTGAAAAATTTTCCTGTGTATAAGAAAAATAGTAATAGAAATTATGAATTTTATTTTATTCGGCAGAAACTAAAACAATTGATACTTTAAATTAGCTCTTTATTAATTCTTCGATGATTTACCAATTACATTTTTTAACCAATTTAAAATTATTTTATTAAATTATAAAAGAGGCATTTCAAATTTTACTTATTGTCTCATAGTACGTTACTAAATAAAATTAATAAGCTTTGAGTTAATAAACACGCAAAATGAATTTTTTAAGTAGACGCGGCACTTACAACGCGATTATATATACGCCAGTTAATTGGGGACCCTCGTGTGCGGTTCGAAACGCATACAAGCCGCGCGTTTGCCCGCTCGTATTATCACGCGGAATTTTACGCCGCTTTTACGATTCGCTGATTTTCTAAAGAACGACGTGGCTCGTGTTTTTTTTTAACCTTCTGCCGCGTGATTCTGTCCATGGAAATGCAAATAGCGGCGTTTTGTTTGCTCAAATTGCGATCGGTGCCGTAAGTCTGTCGTCTGTTTGTATTCGCCTCACACGAGCGTGTATCCCACTCCCTCGTCGATCCCGAATTCGCAACGTCTAAATTTGCACGCGACTCGCCCACTTTTTACGCCGTCCTGTAATTCACATCGCCGTTTGATTCGCCAGGCGCCATTAAAGCGAGAACGAGTCGATTACTCGCGCGATCCGGCTGCCGGCTCTCACCGGGAATTGGATGGCCGCGTTCGAGCGCTGCCTCGAGAACGCGAACAGCGATAGAGAGAGACGTAAAGGAATCGATTCGGTAATACGAAGGGAATGCACCGTCTTCCGTCTCGATGGCACAGGACCAGCCCCCCTTGTTCGACCTGGAAGGATGGTCGGAACGAGGAGCCGCTGCGTCGAGTCGCCACGGATTGTACGCATTGTGACGACCACTTAATTGCCCTTGAGAATCTCTCCCCGTCTCTAAGTGGAGCGCGCTCCACTCTTAAGGGTAGCTCATAAATATTTTCGTTACACTCGAAGGAGCATTCCTCGCGCTTCACGTAGAGGCGGAAGATGATTCATAAATTATGATGAACCCGCGGTGAATACTAGTCTCTTTACCGTCGTGTGTACTAATAACGAATAATACTAATATTATTAATATTACAATAATTGGCATTCCGTATAAAAATAATGTAATAAATAATCGTAGTAAACATATAATTTAGACAAGACAGAAATTGCACGCTTTCCTCGAAGAGTATACTTCTTTTCCGAGAAGTTCTGAAATTAATTTCCAAATCCCTCGCTCGTAATGAAAGACAATCGCGAAGCGTAAGAGGATCAAATGACGAGAAGACGCGCCGGTACTTACGGACGAAGATGTTGCTCATCAGCGTGGCTGGCAGGCAGAAGACGATGACAAGGACGTCGGCCACCGCGAGATTGACGATGAAGAAATTCGTGACGGTCCGCATGCGGGGCGAGCGGTACACCACGGCGATAACGCAACTATTGCCGATCAGACCGACCACGAAGACGACGACGTACGCCACGCAGTAGACCGCCGACATCGCCATGCTGTGCCGGTAGAGCCGGTCGGGCGCGTGCTCGATCGCCGACAGATTTACGGCGGTTTTACTGGCGTTGAACAAACCGGCGGCGTGGTCCTCCATGGTAGCGCGCGGACTCGTCGTCGCGATCGCCTCCGTAATCAGATTGTTCAGATAGCCGCCCAGATCGTGCCGCATCTGCAGCAGGGTGCCGCCGGTGCCCGGCGCGGCGGCGGTCGCGACTGTCGTCGTGACCGGCACGTTGCCGTTGTTGCTCCTGCGGCGCGCGTCAACGTCGAACTCCTCCGAGTCCGGTAGACGCAGGGACGCCATCTCCAGGAGGGGAGACGGTGGCTGCAGCATCGGGAACTTTAGCGTGAAGTGACGGTTCGGCGTCTCGACCATTAGCCGAAACGCTTAAGCGCGCCGCGCCGCGTCCGCCTCCGCCGACGTCGTCCGCCTCCGCCACGGCGCGCTGCTCCTCGCCGTCGTGTGTCGACGACCCCGCGGCCGACCACGGCGCCTACGCGACCTTCCCCGTCGTGGATCGCCGCGGACGTCGTCTCGTTTCACTCGACCGGGCTTCTACGGGGCTTTCCCGCACTCGAGACCGCACTCGGCAAGGACGCACTGCGGCCGATCGAATCTTAGAATGCGCGCGAACGATCGCGGAAACGATCGCTCGATCGTCGGGGACAACGCACCACCGGCTCGGGCTGGATACCGGTAAATTTCGGTGATTAAAACGCGGTCAATTACGAATGTCGGTCGGTACGAATTAAGGAGTACGCGTGGCCGAACAGAATTCTCACGTGTACTAAAGCCCGTTTGAAAACTACCCTCTTTCGAAACGGGGGGATGCAATCGAGGGAACAAAGATCAAAGGGAACGAAGGTGGAATTGGACTAGTTAATTTGTCGGGGCGAGGGAGCGGAGCGATGGGGGTTCGGGACGGGGAAGATGAATAGTAGAAGTGTGTACGAAGTGTGTGTACGAAAATTTGTCACGGCCGGATGCTGAGCGAGTAATGAGCCTGCCTTAGAAGACGACCGCGGACTGCCGCGAGATGCACCCGTCGCGGCGAGCTGTCTGGCTCGACGACTGCGCAAGCGTTATCCGAGCGGCACATGCACCCGCATGCGATATTGCGCGACCCGTAGAGGCACACGCCGGAGTAAAACTGGGAAATAGGAAGAGAGAGTGCTGGCGACGATGACAGCGTGACTGCTCCACATTAGAGCGGGCGCGCGAGCGCGCCTGTCCATCCGCCTGTCCTGTCGAAACACGCGCGACGAATTCGTAACCCATCCCCGCAGTTGCATCTCTCCCTCGCGCATCGCCGACTCGGCGCCCCAGCGAGACTCCCCAGCCAAATGTCGCCGAGCGATCTGCCGCACGCTGTACGTGCATCGTCCACGTTTATTGCGCTCGTGAAACTTCGAGCTGCTGCCGTAGCTAAGAAATCACTTCTCCAAACTGATTTGCGAAGCCGTAAGATTCAAGAAGATTCAGATTCCTAGTCGTATAACTGATTTTAAAATATAATTCCCTTTTTAGAATTCCCTTCTTAGAATTAATAGTCGTTTACAGAAGTTATGTATAATTTAAAATAATATGAAATATTTTATGTGTGTGTGTGCTGCTTGTGCAACAAAATTTGACAACGATAGAATCAAATAAGATTGGCAGTAAAGCAAGTAAAGTAGACTGATATAAAATTACGTCAAGTGTGTAAAATTCTAACGAATCTCACGAAATGCAACAAATGAAAATGGTGATTGGGTTTTTTTATAAAAAATGATCGGAATAGCCTTCGTAAATATCAATGCGTTGCATAGCTGGACGTTTCGTAGAAACCCCGGTGCGCTTAAAATTTCCTGGTATGTCAGAACCAAAACTAAAAGTGGCTAAAACTGGAAAAGGGCGCATTACATTTACACACTTTTGACGCTGTCAACAAACACGTCCTGTCGCTGCGCTGACGTGAAGTCAGGGCCAAAACTAAAAGTGGTTGTAAACTCGGAAGGGACGCTTTTTATCACATACATTTATACGAATGTTTTACGTCGTTTTTATGAGCGTGATACGCTTTGGAAGTGGTCTCTTCTAATTATATTTCCTCTGTCTTGTAATGTCCTTTTTCAATGCACTTAAACGAACTACTTTTAATTGAGGAATCTTAAATTTTTTGACGATTTAAGTAAAAGACATTCATATCTGATACTTGAAATTTTGACGTTTGTTTTAATCAATTTAGCTATTTTCTCGGTACAGTAGACACACATATACACACCGAATCTTTTATATCGTTGGGCGGGATGTTAAACTTCCAAAGAACTTTTCTAATATCTCAAATAATCTTGGAAATACTCGTCTGTTATATTTTTTGCGATGATGGGTGCAAAAATCATTGAATTTGCTTGTGCAATCCGAAAAATATGCGATGTATAAAATGGTAAAAATAATTTACGTCGAATTTATCTCATTCATATATCATCACTAATAAATCATAATTTTAATTATAAATGTAGATTTCGAAGATATGTGATCTTGTGTGTAGAATTACGAAAATACGTAATGTCAAAGGAATCTCTCGCTTGCTTCATCAGCGTTGAAATATTTCTGTAGCAGGTGTTTCTTATCTCGTGACGGAATTTCGTTGACTGAATTTCTCACATTGAATATTTGTCTTGCAATGACGCTTTTCGCTTTCTTTTCCTAATTTAAACAACTGTAAATACTTGTAAATTTTATCTTTTTCAAAGCGATACTGTGTTATTTTATTCGATAAGCAACCAGAGCTTATTAAATTATTTGCAAAATACTTTAGATATTTCTAAATATTTTGGTATTGCTATCTATGCCTTGAAATACTGTCAAATACGTAAAATCTATTAAAACTGTAACTTAATAAATTTTTATTAATTTACATTTCAAAATGTTAGTTCATAAAAACTTCATAAAAATGTTTATCTCTTATTTAAAAATATAAAAAAGGTTACATTTTTGTATCACAAGAGTAAATAGATATTTCTGTAAGAGCGAATGCATTCGACGTGTCAGCCAATAAATCATGATGGTTTGACAATGGCATGAGAGGATCCTTTTTCCTCCAATATATCCAGAAACGGATTTTAAATAAATTTATAAAATATATTGCGACACTTGATTGGACCTAAATAAGTTTTATCTTACTCAACATTTAAATAAATCATTTAATTATTAAATCTTATTACGTTGGAAAAATATATTACATTATCTTCCTTATTTCTCACTTTTATAACTAGCAATTTTCGGCATAATTTGACGTACACTCGCTAATCATATATTTTTTATTAAATTTATAAATGTGTATTTAAATACATGTATATTGTTTTTTTTTTATATATTATCTTTAATCGAACATTTTGCATAAATTTACTAAATCCATTTGATCATTTATTTGCGTATAAATGTTCCATTGTATCAAATCAAAAATAACCACGTGTTTACAAAACGCATCTGCGACTAAGACAGGCATTAACGTGGAATGCGGGTTAAACTGTTAATGCACATAAATGTTCCTTTATATATCGAATCGAAAATAACGGAAAATAAATGTTTACGGAAACGTAGCCACGACTGACATCACTATAAAGCGTAGATACACAGCCAGCTGTTAATATTACGACATAAATTTTGGAAGGACGAAGGCGTATCCGCCCCGTGTCGATTTACTGTCAGTGCGATGGATCGACCGACGTCGCGACGCACATTCGACACGTACAACCACATGCAGCCGTACGCTGCCTCGATTAATCTCTTTGTCTCTTCAACTTTCTCTATCCTTGCTCTCTCTCTCTCCTTCTTTTTCTCTCTCCTTCCTCCTTTTCTCTGTTTTTCTGCGGTGTACCACGTCATCCGTCTTATGCCTTTACACATCTATGTCCGCTCGCTTGATTTCGTTTATGTTTTTTTGCCGCACGACGCCCACCGTCCGTCGTCTTTCGCTGATTACGTAGGATCGCATGACTCTCGGCGAATTGCCCAAATTTCCGGTTTCTAGAAGCGACGTTAGCTCCGAGCGACGGCTAAGCGGCTAATTGGATCACACTATCAAGGACGCGTGACGAAACGAATCGTCCAAACGAAATTCCCTTTCCCTAATCTGACGGGCCCGCTATTATTCTCGTCGTGCAACCAGTGGTTACTCGATTTCGTCGCACGCGAAATTTGTTAAAAAGATCGGCCCTCTTTTCGACATCGCGCGCACCGGCGGGTTATCGACGGCAACGCGGTTATCCCGGCAACTCAATTAGAATCTCGATTAAGCCCCTCGTAACGCCTCTTCCTGTTCTTAATCCCTTCAGGTCACATCACATCTGGTTTACTCTCATTATTTGCTTGTAAATATGGAAAAAAGATGTAAAAATATCATGCAGAACTGTTACATTTATTTTTTACGCTGATCTCTTCAATCGTGTCTATCGCGAGGAAACAAATTTGCATAAAGTCGTAAGGGATAATTTTCCTCTCTTTGTCTCGGACTCTATGTTTATTGCTAAGATAGCTACTTCATATCTTATTCCATTAGATTCCTAGTATAACCATATCATAAAAGAGAATGGTCTCCCACAATGAAGTGTGAGGGGAGGGAAGATATCGATGTCTAAAATCACAATGCGCCGTCGACATAGCCGACTGCCATTTTCCGCCGCGTATCAGGCCTCGTAACTCCCATCACAAAATAGCTACCTTATATATCCCCGGTTTCTGTTATATTCTCGTGTGTCTGCGCGCATTTCCGCGCGACTGAGATTACCTTTCTTATCCGCGGCACAAGATTGCGGAGCCGCATTTGCGAAGTCGGGGGTGCGGGATGACCGGGGAGGACAATGACGGGAGGAAGCTCGTCGCGCGCGCGCGCGCGCGAGGAAAACTTCGCAACGGATCATAAATCCCATCGCCGTCCAACGACGGGATCCGTTCGACTTCGTCGTCAAGCTGACGCGGGCCCCGGCTATCGACTTCTTTTTTCGATGCCGTTCGCCAACGCCCGTTAAAGGGAGAACTCCGGGGATGCTGCCGCTCCGTCGTCGACGCGATGCGCTGAATGCCAGATGTTGCGGACAAACGTGATCGTGCACGTTGCGAAGGATTTTGAGAAGTGGCGCAATGGAAAATTGCATTGTTGGCGGGCTCGGTTAAAATCTCGGGCTCGTAAGCGCTCTCGGATCCGACGAGCGAGCAGCATGGGCGAGCGCACGGGCGAATCCCCGAGTTTCTCTTCGTAGGACGATAATTCTCCGTCACGCCGAACGGGAGACCGGAGATCCAACTGCTTCGTTTAAATTTATCGTCAGATTTTCTCGTCAAAGAGAGAAAGAGAGAGCGAGGGAGTGAAAAAACGAGGGACTGGACAGATCCGCGGGACTCCGGATTACCGGATCGCAATTATTATACCGCCCGCCTGTTATCTTCGAGTGATTGGTAATCCGATTTGCATCTTTTTCAAAAATTATATCCATATCGCACCCTCGTCGTACGGGAGCGCATCGATGCGCGTTAGTGCAACAACGCGCGAACCGCTTCGGAATATTGCGTCCGAAATTCTGCGGTATTTTTGTGCAGACGCAGTGCAGAGGGAGAGAGAGAGAGAAAGAGAGAGAGAGAGGACGAATTATCGGTATCTTTCCCTCCCGCTGTTTTCCTTTCTTTTTCCCCCCGCCGCAATCTACTTTCATCTCCTACGCTATTATCCCCAGTGAAAATCTCAAAAAAGAACTTGTTCAGATCTCGCCGATCTTTTTCTCTCGGCACAATGAGGCAAGGACGCTTTCTTCATTAGTGTAAACTGCATATAGGTAACTCGTGCGCGCTGCAGAAAGAAACGCGAACTTTTTTTTCCCTTTTCCCGCCGAGAGAAACGCAGCGCTCGTTCCCCACGCATCACCATCAGTGAGAGATTACGCTTTGAAAATCGTTTGCTCCGCTCACTCCTTTATCTCGCTTAATCTTCCTCTTTCTCTCTCTCTCTCTCTCTCTCTTCTTTCTTTCTTCCTCCGCCATCCCGTTTCCGAAACTTCTAGAGCGCATTTTTCTCACTGTTCGCCCCCGCTTCGCAACTTTATATTCTCTATCTTCGGCACGACTTCCGGAACTCAGCGGGAATTCACGATTTAATCGCCCGTGGCGAAACTACCGCGAAAGAATTTCGGGGCAATTTAAAACCCGCGCCGACATTCCCGCCGGACCGAGCTCTCGGGACCGCGTCGATTTAGGATGGGACAGCTCTCATCGTCGTTTTTCCCGTGCGAAACTCGATGTCCTTTAATCGATGTATCGGTTAAGGGCAAGGTCGTCGCCAGCCGGTGCGACACGCGACCTGTAACCTTCGCGCGATATTAGTGCCGAACCGCCGTGTAACGAGCGATCGAGTTTCGTGTTGCGGCTGCTGCTGCTGCTGCTCGTCGTTGCGGCGCTACACCATGCTGCGCTTCACGTGTATCTAATAGCGCTCCGGCCCTAATGCATACGATTGAATATGCGAATTAGCCCGCCTTGGCGCCCAGAGCACGAAACAAGTCGTTCATTTTCCGCGCCCGAATCGATACTTAAGAGTCTCGGCCGGAGGAGTCCATCGGCGTTAACCGGAATACGAGCGGTCTCTCGTAATCGACTGCCAGCTACTCGGGCTGCATTTTCCACCTAAAGTACGCCGTATTTATGATACGGCGCGCACAGCAGGGAAATATTAATGCTGCGAGCGTGCTCGTAAAAGAATATGATATATGTCAGTCGCGATGGCCAGACAGAATTACAGCGCTCATCCTAGCTTTATCCGAGCTTTATCAATTTTCCACCATTCGGAAGTCACTTTTTCGGAAATTAGTCGGAAATTTGTCTTCATCGGCGCTTTGGAATCTATAGCGATTACACGGTTCAATTCGGGCACCACGACGCGGTGGCGGCAGCGGAGAGTGACAGGTCCTCCCACGAAAGCCACGACTAAATGAAAGAAAAGCAGAGAGCTGAGGCGAAGCTGAAGGGCGCCGAAAGACGGGGGAGAGCTCGCGAAATCGAAGGCCGCGACGGCCTTGCCCGGCGACTGGCTGCGAAATCGCCGCGCGCGCCGTTTTCATCAACTCCGACTTCCGCCGACGCGTTATTCGCATACTTGAGTGAAATATTGGATACTTAATCCCGCGTCGGGTGAGCGAAGGCACGTCGAGGGGAGTCCCCCCTTCTTCCGCGCTCTTTTCACGAGATCTGCGATCGCTGTCCGCGCGCGGAATACGCGCGGCATCCCTCGCCGTGTCGATATCGTTCCTTGCAAATCCGCTTCAGCCCGAGGTCGAGGTCGCCGACGTTAATCGTTGACCTTTTAAGCGCCCGTGCACAAGCCTGATCTCGTAATCGATGGCGTAATTCGATTCAACCCGGACGCGATCGGGCGCTTAAAACTTATTTACCGAGCGTATTAACCACTCCAGGGCGTCCCGGTGGACCCGCAGCCGGATCCAGTCGCTCCACCGACTCGCTCGTTTTTCGACGATATTCGACGATAAGCTCAACAACAAAAGAGTGAATAAATTAATTTAATCGGAATAATGCGTAAAAATTGAAAATAATGATCCTCGAGAAAAGTTTCAATAGTTGACATTGACAAAAATTAAAATGATAATTATTGATTATTCATCCGCGAAGAAGTAACCAAGTTCTATTTGCTGTAATTATGTTAAAAACTTGGCAATATAACTTCATTGTTGAGAAAGAACGTCCTTGCAGCATCCTTCCTGCGGATAATATTGGTTCTTCTTGCTGTGAAAAGCAAAGTGCTCGCATTTTTTGTCGCGTCGTTTTAAAAACGCGAACGGTCAGACAATCGTTCATCATCTGCAGTCGGTCGTAATAAAAAAGCAATCAGAAACGATTTTGTTCTCGTCCTTTGCTGCATTATCAATAATTTACAATGTACCTCCGATATCTCCCTTTAAAGAGGGATTAATACGACGATGCGCAATTTGATTTATCGTAATTAAAACACCCACGCTGATTTAATCGCAGTAGGAAGATTCCTAAGACGTCGGAGCGCTTCGAGAGGAATTGCGGCATATCGGCGCTGACGTATCTCCGAAGGTCACTTTTCACGACGAAACGCGACGTGATTGCACCTGTGTGAACGCGCAGCGATCATTTAACTCATTAATTATAACATAAAGAATATTATTCAAATCACAATAACTTTTTTTAAATTTATTATCTTTAATAACGACTTACAACTATTTAATTAGAAACATGCTAGAGTATAATATAAATTACACGTATGTTACACTTTGTTACATTTTACAAACGTATAAATTATATATTAAATAAATCGGCTAACATGATCGAGAGTATAATCCACTCTCTTTAATAGACTCTTTCTCATAAAATGTATCTGTACACGATAAAATCATACAATATATTAATTTACATATTATATTCATCTCACGTTTTAATAATTGCGCGATAAATAATCTTAGCGATAAATAATCTTAACGATGCCACCGCGCTACGATGTATCCTATGTCGATTAATCAAAAAGAATCATGGAAGATCGAATATCGAAAACAGTATATCGTGTATTTACAGTGATGAGTGATTCTCTGATTCGACGTGCGAATACTTTGGCAACGAGATGACACTGTGAGCGGCGTACAAAAATAATTTATACGCAAATTTGTATTAAAAAAATAGTTAAACTATCGTATAAAAATGTTCGCAGCCGTTGTATTCCGGCGCTCCTTGGAAGTTTGCCACTTTTTTTACAAATCGACGGTACTAATAGAGCATGTGGCTGGCTCTTGATGTACCTGCGAAATAATTATCTGTTCAGTTTCACTACATGTGCGCCATTAGGGATGGTATCAAGTTCGGTACCGTATTTAGTTGGCGTGAGAACAGGATCAAGAGACTTCTTACGTTTCGTAAAACTAAAATTATATCTGGTTCAAGTTTCGTCAGCGGTGAAAAGACTACCCACACAAATTAGGTCTCAAGAATATAAATACGTAACAAAATCATCTCTTTTTCATTAAATTTTGAATTAATTTTACACGACAAAATTTTCAATAGTAGTTTTACTAAATTTGTTATAAAAATATTTAATGTTGCATAGAATAATTGCTGGTCGCGGGTGATAATTTTGCCAAATAAAACTTAGTCGCGAGTCTCGTTATCATCGATTTCGACGTACCGTGAAGAGTCGACGTGTTCGGCAGTGAGCTCCCCAACGAGATCTCCGTTCCCGGGTGCTCGTGTATCACCGTCTCGGTGATATTGTTCTCCGCTTCGGAATGCGCACGGCGATGCTCCGCTTTCCGTCTGTTCTCGCTGCCGACGCAGCAGTGTTGTTGTTCCCGCTGCATCGTCATCTCGTGGGTATAAACAGATTCGCCGTTCGAGAAAGAATGAAAACGTTGCTGCCGTTTCGCCGCTAAAGTTGCCCGTCTCCCGACCACGCTGGCGATTTCATGACTCCGTGAAATGTCATTGCTTCGCTCGCGACGCTGAAGCGACTTGAGCGAGTCCTCGTACCCGCTGAAAGAAAATACAAGAAAATTTTGCACGGGCGATGGGGAGGGGAAGACGAGAGAAATATTTCAAATAAATTGGTGGGACAATTTTACAGGATATACAGGTTGACATTGGGATCGGCAAAGCTTAATCTATTATCGTATTTTTTTTATTTTTTTTTAAATATTATTTCCAACTTACAATATTTACAAATTAGATTTAATTTTGAGCAAATCGCATCTCGTATTGATCAAACCGCGCTCAAGTGACAAGAACTTGCGCTTGAAAGCTACTTACTTGCTGCTTTCACCGCTGGAAGGACTGGATGAGTGACTGCAATGGCAGGAAGTGCGCGCCACGATACCAGAATCCTGACCGCTGGAATGCAAGGATGTCGCGGATGCCTCGAGGCCTTTCAAGGTACCCGTCGATCTCACCGCATGTTTTCCACCCCCACTCATTCTGAAAATAACCCGTGGCAATGGCGTCGTCAATGTTGCAAGATGCTCCGAAATTTCCCGATACAACAGAATATAATAATATTCCGAAGCAAAAGAGTCAAAGCAATCCTTCGGATTCAAGACGCTTCGCTAATTAAACTTCAAGAATCTTTTCTAGATTAATTTTCAAACGGATTTTAAATTAATGAAAATTTTATTCGAAGGATATTTATCAAATAAAAATATTTAATTTATGAAATTCATTAAATTCAATACGTATTTTTCGAATATCTTTTAATTTGCACGATATTCATTTTTGCATGATAAAATAATTGTTATAAATATATAATCTATCAGAATCACTGATGTTTCTCGGCTCTCTAATAATCTTATTCAAGTCACAGACTTACGTGTGAAAACGAACGCAATTATTGCCATGCTCGCATATACTCTGACGCCTAGACATCTCAGAGCAGAAGGGCTCGGGATCATAATGGAGCCCATCGACGAAGGTGGGGAAGAGCGGCGGCTTTTGCAAAGTGCCGGCGGGGTCCGTCAGAGCGAATCCGACCGGGCCGACCGTCGAGAACATGGCCTTGTCACGTCGTCTACGACTAACGAATGGAATTCGAAATTCCCATTTAGAATATGTAGTTTGCAATGATAATGGAAATTCAGCGTTTAAATCGGCCGACGTCAATTAAGCGAACAAGACACCGATTCTCGTTCCATTATTTTCTTACACAATTAACTAACATTATTGGATTTAGACGGAATGTGTGTTTATGTGAGCGGTAATAAATAAATAGTTTGCTTTGACAGAAGGAAAGAGACAAAGATAAAGAACAAGATTCTTCAAGCGATATATTTGGGAGTTAGTGTGGTAGCGTAGATGGTTGTGTTGATGATTGAATTAGATAACGAGCGAACAAAATTATATTTTGCATACCGTTTATTGCGACGAACGCAAGTAACGCATAGAGCGGTCACGAGGGCGCCTACGAAGACGACGCAGCCGAGCACCACGACACCCACTTCGAGGGTGGACAATAAATAACGTTGACTACCTCTACGTGGAGCGTTACCGGCGATTTCCAGTACTCGATACTCATCCAGCTCGCGTTTTATGTCCATCTTTTTGCTAGTGAAAACACTGAAAAATTACGCGTAGACATATCGTTAAATCATTCCCGCGAGCTTTCTGCCATAATTTAATATAAATAGAAAAAAATGAACTTGAAACTTTGTGTTAAATATTAATTAGATTTAACGATTAATTTAATTAAATTAATTTAAGTGAAAATTTAATTTTATTTTTAATTAAGTTTTACTAAATTAACTCTCTGTTCATTAATAAGGAATTTCCAGATGCAGATAAGAACGGTAAATTTGAAGTATTTTGTATGATCGATAATGATTTATCACCTGTGCAAGGTATCCATGTCAATCATGATATTCAGGTGCGGGTCGATCGCGTATAGATAAACGTCAGTGCTGAAAAATAATTTCGAGGTTCAGCGGGCGTCCGTCACTTTGATAATGATATCGCATTGCATCATCCATCAAAATCGATCGGTGAATTACTTACGAGGCTGCGTCGATCAAGTTCTTTTCGATGTGCGGCTCCAGCTTTCTCACTCGCACGTCCAAGCCGGTGACGTTTTGCAGCGCGCTGAAAGATACGATACGTATATTCTGTGTGTTCACTCGCGATAGCGCCAAGTAGAAACTTACATGGTAATATTCTCGAGCTGAGACTCGATCTCGATAGGTTTGCGTCCCATGACCATGACGACCTGCTTCTGATCGTCCAACACGTACACCTACGGAGTTCGTAAGCGAGTTGTGTACGTCGGATAACGGAATACGGACTGTCAAGGTCGGCACCGGGTGTGGGAGTTTCCGTCTCTTGAAACATCCCATTTCCCGGCGAGGAAATTAGCCCCGGGGCGTTATCTCTAACGGCGAGTAATTAAGATACATCGCGCGCGGCGCGATAGCGCGAAATGTAGGTATGTTTGCGGACTTACGAAAACGTTGGCGATGCTGCTGCGCCCGTTCTCGGCGCCCCGTCTGTCCGTGGCC